CCTGGGCCCCCTCAGCTCCCCATTCACCTGGCTATGGTCCTGCCCCTTCCCCGGCCCTGGGACGCAGGCAGCCCCTCTCTCCATTCAAGGCGCCCTCACCTGCCAGCCAGGCCACCCCTAGTCCCCACCTGGTGCCTTCACCTGCCCCTTCACCAGGGCCTGGCCCAGTACCTCCTCGGCCCCCTGCGGCAGACCCGCCCCCATGCCTGCGCCGGGGGACTGTGGCTGCAGACCTGCTCTCCTCCAGCCCTGAGAGCCAGCATGGTGGCACCCAGCCTCCCGGGGGTGGGCAGCCCCTGCTGCAGCCGACTAAGGTGGACGCGGCCGAGGGCCGGCGGCCACAGGCCCTGCGGCTGATTGAGCGGGACCCCTATGAGCGTCCTGAGAGGCTGCAGCAGTTGCAGCAAGAGCTGGAGGCCTTTCGGGGCCAGCTGGGCGATGCCGGGGCCCTGGATGCCGTGTGGCGGGAGCTGCAGGACGCGCAGGAGCATGACGCCCGTGGCCGCTCCATCGCCATCGCCCGCTGCTACTCGCTCAAGAACCGGCACCAGGACGTCATGCCGTACGACAGCAACCGCGTGGTGCTGCGCTCGGGCAAGGACGACTACATCAACGCCAGCCGCGTGGAGGGGCTCTCCCCGTACTGCCCGCCCCTGGTGGCCACCCAGGCCCCGCTGCCGGGCACAGCTGCCGACTTCTGGCTCATGGTGCATGAGCAGAAAGTGTCAGTCATTGTCATGCTGGTGTCTGAGGCGGAGATGGAGAAGGTGAGAGGGGGAGGTGGGTGGGTGCCCAGCGGGGATCCTGGAAAAGCACCCCTAACCGCCCTCTTTGCCCCTCAGCAAAAGGTGGCTCGCTACTTCCCCACCGAGAGAGGCCAGCCCATGGTGCACGGCGCCCTGAGCCTGGCGCTGAGCAGCGTCCGCACCACCGAGACCCACGTGGAACGGGTGCTGAGCCTGCAGTTCCGCGACCAGAGCCTCAAGCGCTCCCTCGTGCACCTCCACTTCCCCACCTGGCCCGAGCTGTGCGTCTGCCGCCTGGGTGGGGGGAGCATGGAGGGTGGCAAGGCCTCGGTCAGGTGTGACTCTAGCCCCCCCGCCCCGCAGAGGCCTGCCCGACAGCCCCAGCAACCTGCTGCGCTTCATCCAGGAGGTGCACGCGCATTACCTGCACCAGCGGCCCCTGCACACGCCCATCGTCGTGCACTGCAGCTCCGGGGTGGGCCGCACGGGAGCCTTTGCGCTGCTCTACGCGGCCGTGCAGGAGGTGGAGGCGGGGAACGGGCTCCCGGAGCTGCCCCAGCTGGTGCGGCGCATGCGGCAGCAGAGGAAGCACATGCTGCAGGAGAAGGTGAGGCTCTGGGCGCCGACAGGCTCTGCCCTGAGGGGTGCCCCACCCCACCCCACCCCACCCCCACCCCCCGCTGACCAGCCTGTGCCCCTGCAGCTGCACCTCCGGTTCTGCCATGAGGCGGTGGTGAGACACGTGGAGCAGGTCCCTGCAGCGCCATGGCGTGCCCCCGCCCTGCAGGCCCTTGGCTGGCACAGGCGTCAGCCAGAAGGTGAGGCAGGGATGCCTGCTGGGACAGGGACAGCGCAGCCTGTGCCCCGCCCTCACCCGCCTCTCTTTTCAGAACCACCTCCCTCAGGACTCCCAGGACCTGGTCCTCGGGGGGGACGTGCCCATCAGCTCCATCCAGGCCACCATCGCCAAGCTCAGCATCCGGCCGCCCGGGGGCCTGGATTCCCCCGTGGCCTGCCTTCCAGGCCCTGTGGAGCCCCCAGGCCTGCTGCCAGCCAGTCTCCCGCAGTCCACCCAGCTCCCCTCCTCCTCCCCACCACCCCTCTCTTCACCCCTGCCCGAGACACCCCAGCCCGAGGAGGAACAGCCCGTTCCTGAGGTCCCCAGCCTGGGGCCCCCCTCCTCCTCCCTGGAGCTGCTGGCCTCCCTCACCCCGGAGGCCTTCTCCCTGGACAGCTCCTTGCGGGGAAAGCAGCGGATGAGCAAGCAGAACTTCCTGCACGCCCACAACGGGCAGGGGCTGCGGGCTGCCCCGCCCGCCGACGACCCCCTCAGCCTTCTGGATCCACTCTGGACGCTCAACAAGACCTGAGCAGGCTTTGCCCCGCCTGGTCGTCACACTACATCGTCTCGCCCGCCGCCCACCTGCCCGCGCCCAGCAGGGCCTCCCGAGGTGGCCGGGCTCTTCCTCCTGTACTTGCTGCCTTCAGTCCTTCTGGTCCAGCCCGCACCCCTATGGGGTGCAGACGTGTCGCAGGCCTTAGGCCTTAGGCAGGTCCTGCTACTGTGGGACCTGATGTTTTTCCAGCTCTTTGCTGCTGAAGTAATAAACCAACCTGTCTGTGGCCATGTCTGCCCATTGCTGCCTCCAAGAGGGAGCCTACCACCCGGCACCGTTCATGGCCTTGGGTGGGTGGGTGAGCTGGGGGCCACCCTCGCCTCGCACGCCTTGGAGGGGCTATGGAGGCCTCCCCCGCCTGACTGTCCCCGACACGCCTTGTAGGGCTCCTGCCTGGAGCCGCTGAGCTGAGGCTCTAACCCTGTGCTGGAGGGAGGCACGGGGGGAGGGACTCGTGGACAAAGCGCAACTGCTCACAAGGCCCCAGCGGGTGTGGTTTTGTACAAAGTTTAATGTTCCCGTCCTGAGGCAGGACAGCCAGACGCGTTACACCCCGACTCGGTCCAGGGCATTGGCTCCACGGAGCCCTCAGCCCCCGCCTGCCCTCAGTCCAGCTTCTCCAGCACCGAGGGCACGTACACCAGGCTGAGCTCGCTGCCGAAGTTGCAGACGACGGCGGCGTTCTCCAGCACCAGGATCTGCCGGGCGGGCTGGGCCTCGCTGTTCTTGCCCAGGTAGACGGTCTGCAGCAGGTCCCCATAGTTTAGGTCCCAGAAGGAGACACAGCCCTGGCCACCGGTCACCAGGAGGTTGTCTGAGATGACCCCCAGGCTGGCCCCACAGCCCAGGTCCTAGAGGCACGGACAGGACAGGCTCAGTGTCTGGAGTCCCTCCCTGCACCCCGAGAGCCCGCAGGCCCCGCCTACCTGCTGGATGGAGTAGAGCTTGATGCCTGTGCTGCGGTCCCAGATGCAGATGAGGTCGTCCAGGCCGCTGCTGATGACACAGGAGGTGGTGCAGGTGAGGGAGGTGACGTCCCCACGGTGGGCGAACATGTGGCTGACCCGACTGCCGGTCAGCACGTCCCACAGGCAGATGGCCCCGTCCTGTCCTCCGCTGGCCAGCACCATGGTCTAGGGGAGCGAGCCGGGAGCTGGGTGTCCACCAGGGGGGCCCCAGGCCCGGCGGTGGCCCACGCTGCTTCCCGGCACCCGCCCGCGTCCTCACCTGGTCTATGTACACAGCTGTGATGGCCCCTGAGTGGCCCTGCAGTGTGAAGAGGCAGCACGAGTCCTCCAGACGGAACACCTGGGGGGATGGGCATCAGGTGCCGGTCTCGGTTTTTCCAAATTACACTTTGGCCAGGAAATGCCTCCCACAGCACATCGAGCACCTGCAGCCTCTCCCTGACCCCAAACCACCATGCCCTGCGCTCCGTCACGCCAGTGCCTGAGACGGGCCCGCACTCACCCTCAGAGTGTGGTCTTGGCTCCCGGTCACGAGGCGCCCGGCAGCTGCCTTCAGAGCGGTGATGGGTTTCTGGTGTGCACAGGGCACGGTGTGGGTCAGGCGGCAGGCCACCCTGTCACTGCTGCTGTACACAGGGGCCACGGGAGAGCTGCCCTGCCCTGGAGAGAACAGGCCAGCGGAGGGTCAGCCCTTGCAGGTGGCCCCTCACCCACACGTCAGACGCAGCTCCTGCCCAGGCCAGGCCACTGACCTCGGAACTGCAGGGGGCTGAAGGCAGCGTGGGTCTCCAAGGAGAAGAAGTCGAGGGAACCGTTGAGCCGGGCAGCCACGATCCTGAAAGGAAAGCACGCCAGGTGGCTCCCTGAGCCCCCGGCCTTGGGACCGAGCACCAGACTGGACAGGTCAGCTCCGCTGGGAGCCAGGAGGGAAGGACAGGCTGGGAAGAGATGCGGGAGAGGCCCAGATGGCAACTCCATGACCCGCCTCAGTGCTTCATCTGTGAAATGGGAGCAGCAGCACCACCTCACGGGCGGTCCCGAGAGCGTGCAAATCAGAGACCAGCACGCGGAGGGCCTGCGTGGCCGGGAGCCTCAGGAGTCGCACAGACGCAAGCACCACCCCCTCCATTTATTTTCCCACAAAGAAACCGGGATTTTCTCCAGAATCCCAGGCACATGTGGACCGGCACAGGCGGGGACCCAAGCTGACGCCCACAGCAAACGGCACCGCGTGTTTCCAGCCTCTGCCTGTGGATGGGAGGAGGGCCAGGAGCGCTGGAGGCAGTGGGCACATGTGGGCTTTTCCTAACGCAGAGGAGCCAGCAGGGAAGACCTCCAGGGCTGGAGGGCAGGACGTGGGCCAGGGCCCGTGCCACAAGCCAGGGGGTGGGGGGTGGGGTGGCAGGAATGGCGGCGGCGGCAGCAGAAATCAGAGCTGAAGGCAAGTGGCTCCTCTCCTGCTCCGGCTCAGGCATGGATGGTGCCACATGGTCAGGCCCTGGAAGGCAGAGCTGGCCTGGGGCAGGCAGGGGCAGCAGCAGGAGGCACTGCCAGGGCTGAGAGCCGCCCCTAGAGCGTGTGCAGAGGGGGCTGCGCCACGACTGCTGGGAGGGAGAGGAACGGGCCAGCAGCAACGGGAAAGGAAGGTTAAACAGGCTCTTCTGAAAGCGCATTTTTCTGGAACTGAAAATGCAGCCAAGAAACTCAGGAAGTCAGCATCGAGGCCAGAGAGCTTGGACCTCAGGAGGCAAAGAAGGAAAACGGTCCTCGCCTCTTGTGGCTACAGCTTGGGTGGCGACAGGGGCCCGAGGCAGGTGCCTGCGCTCACCTTCTGTCCAGGAAGACGAGGGCGGTGATTCCCGAGGAGACCTGCTCACAGCTGCAGCGCAGGGAGCCCTCGACAGCGTCCCACACCTGCAGGCCCAGGGCATGAGCAGCTGCGGCTGGAGAGGCCCACAGCCCGGCCCGCCTCCAGCCCCCTGCCCGCCTCCAGCCCCCTGCACCCCCTGCCTGCCTCCACCCCCCTGCAGTCCCCTGCCCGCCTCCAGACCCCTGCACCCCCCTGCCTGCCTCCACCCCACTGTAGTCCCCTGCCTGCCTCCAGCCCTCTGCACCCCCTTTGTCCGCCTCCAGCCCCTTGCCCGTCTTCACTCCCCC